ATGTTGGCTATGACAATCTTTAAGGTCCTTTCTAGCTCTGAAATTCTAGGAGTTGTACAACTCCATACTTTGATACAAATCCAGCTGTAAATGTTGGCTGTTAAGGGAAGCACTTGATAACAACTTGAGTCCATACAAGATTCCGTCAAAATATAAAATGAGTTGAGTCAGGCCTGGAAAAGGGAGCTGGCTGATCAAGGCTGGGGAGTGCATGCTCTCCTTCAGCAGAGGGTAACTGCCTGTGGCCTGACTCCTTTTGTAGCTGAGCCAGGGAGCCAGGAACAGTGGCAGAGCCAGGATCAGTGTGGCCCTGGAAGGGGTTCCCTGAGGCTCCAGGGTCTGCTACATCTACAGCCCCTTCAAAGGATCTTGCTTCTCTCAGCATTGAATGACCTGGGGGCAGAACCAGCTCCCAGAGCTGAAGGCAGCCAGGGATAGGCTGGAGGGGAGGAGGAGGCTGCAAAGGCTGCCCAATGGGGCTGCTTCATGTTAGGTGGTGACCAAACAATTCCATCAGCGCCTTCTCTGAGGCATGGGTGGTGTTAAGTATGCTTTGTAGCTGAGTTCAGAGGAGGTAGGGCATGGAGCTCAAGTTATATCCTGGTGCTCATTCACACTGTAAAGCAGGTAAGTGGTGCCCTCTGGAGGTGTGTCCTGCAACAGCCCTTCTGCCTACCATACCTCGGCGCTGTGGGACAGAGGCGTGTGCCACGCAGGATACTGGGTTCCACAACCTGGCTGTTTCATTGCCACCTGGGTCTCACTACCAAAGGTTGTTTGGATTTGGTTGCATCCTCACTCTTTGAAAAATTATTCTTTTCCCAGATGTGCTGAATATCATAGATGTATTGGTCATCCAGAAGGCAGGCAAGGTCAGGATTACTCCTGGCAGAAAGGATCAGAGAGGTCAACTAAGTGTCCAAGATCACATGGCAGAAGAAATAGTTGTGTTAAAAACCAAGACCCCCTTTCCATCAGCAGCCTTTCCTAGCACTGTAGAATTCTGTGATTCAGGAGCAACAAATTGATGGTGGTGCCCTCAACTAGCTTCTGAGAGTACTAGCAATGGGGCCAGCATTTTGGAGTCTTGGGTCTGGGGTCTTTGGATGGCTCTGGAGGGTACCAGTCCTTCCCTCAGGCCAGAAGAGCTGCTCCTTAGGCAAGCGACATGAATCAGCAACAGGCGCCTCTGCCAGCTTTTGATGAATTTTCCTGCCACTGGTGCTAATTTCCTGAAAGGCTCTCCTTCAAAAGAGTCCTTGCTCCTTCACAGCAGGAGATATAAAACAATCACCCTATAGCTCCTCAGTAAGGTCGAAGGGTATGCTCTTCCACAGCCCACAGTGCCTGTGGCTGATAGGGCTAGGAGTGGACAGGAGTCTTGGACCTCCCCCTCCCTCTCTGCCTCCATTCCCTCCAGGACCTCCTGCTGGCCCTTTCACATGCTTCTCCTGGAAGCTTTCCCTGACACTCCAACCCAGCCAAAGATAGGTCATCTCTGTGCTCCCACACCTTTCCAGATAATGCTTTCTATCATGCACTGGAAGGTCTCAGTCAGACAACTGGGATGAGAAACAGATGCCACCTTCTGAGTGCTCAGGTACTGCCCTTCTCCATCCTGACAGCCCCCAGCACTGCCCTGGCTCTCTGTCCATTGGCCTGTCTGGGCGTGTGTCGACCTGCTTCTGTTTCTTTCCTCCCCTCCCTGACTTTCTTGGCTGATCGTCCCACTGTCTCTTCCATCTGTCTCCGTTTCTTTCCTCATGCTTTAATTTAATGCACTGTCACTTCATTGCACGACAGACTCAAGGTGGTGTCTTTGTCACTGTGTCCCTTCCTCATTCAGTCCCCACACCCCAATTTCTCACAGGCACTCTCTCTCTCTTCACACAGCTAATGGCCTTGCTATATGGAAAGAGGAGTTCTCACTCTTTTAGAGAAGTGATCCCCTCTCCCTCACAGAAAGTCTGGTCCAACAGGACCTGAGTGAGGTTCTAGACCATGCCCATCCTTACCATGGCCAGACCTAAGTGTGGTAGAAGCAGAGGGAGGGCACAGAGAAAAGGCCACCCTGAACCCCATGACACTGCATCCAGGACTAGATGGGGCCTTGACACCTCTAACCCAGCCCTGTTGGGGAAAAAGAAGTACTGAACAGTTGAGCTCTTTGGTGACCCCTATTTGTGAACCTTCTTAGTGAGCTCTTTCCCTCTGCTTCTTCCCTCCCTTGGCCTCATTCAGAGTGTGTCCAGTTCCTCACTACAGGGCCCCAGGGCACCCAGCTTGGGCTGGAAATGAGTCAGTTGGGGAAAGGAAAGCCTCGAAGTGGCGGCACCTGCCTGTCTTTCCTTAACCTGAAGCTTCCCTGAACCTCAGAGCTTCCATTAATATGGGATCCCAGCCAAGACCCTGAAGTTTCTGCCCACGCAGCCTGTGGGCTCCTGGAGGGCAAAACGGATCCCTCTTGGGTCTCCCAAAGCCTACAGGGGGGTGAGTCAGGTTGTGCAGGGACCCGGGGGAGGAAGTCCATGCACACACTCATCAGTGGAAGAGCACCTGTGGCCCGGCACTGCCCACCCGCTCTTCGGTCCACGTCCCTGCCATGCAGGGGCTCTATGCAGGACAGGCTCAGGGTTTCTAAAGCCAGGCCCTGCCAAGGCCACCAACAGGGAACCGCTCTGAGCTCAAGCAGCCTGGGCCTGGGCCTGGGCCTTGGAGGTCCTGAAGCCAGGAGAACCATGAGGCCTCAAGAGGGCTTGGGCAGAGCCCACCGCTGCCTGGAGCACCTCAGTCGCCAGCCTGAGACTGGGGCTCCTCCCACCACCTAGCCCCACCGCGCCGGCTGCTGCCTGCCGGCCTGGCAACTGAAGGTGGGGGCCGGGGCGCAGGCTGTCAGGGGGCGCAGGAGCCCTCACAGGAAGGGCAGCCGCATTCCGCTCGCCCCCACCACCCTGCGGCGGCGAGTTCCAGCTCCCGGCGCCCTCACGTCCGCCCGGGCTCTGGCCCCAGGCCAGGCGCCTGGATCCATCACTGCAGTTGGCGGGAGGCCGGGCGGCGCGTCCCTCGGGGCTCCCAGGCGTCTGGCGCTGTCGGCCGTGCAGGGGGGGCGGCGGCGGTCGAGCGGCGGCGGCGGCGGCGCTGCGGGAACTGCGGGCAGCGCGGGCACCGCCGGCACCGCCGTGGGGCCGCGTCTCCCGCACTAATTGGCCCTTCCCCAGCCACCTCGGCCGGTAATTGCTGCTTCAGGTGGTGGGGAGCTGGGTGTGTTGGAGGAGAGGAAGGGGCGCCGCTTCCGGAGCGAGGAGTCAGACTCCGCCCGAGCTGAGCGGCGAAGGCCCGCAGAGGGCGCGTGTGCGCGCTGTTCCTAGGCCAGCTTTGCACCCATGCGCCTTCGTGCTCATAGCGGCCCCGGACAGCCGAGGAAAACTTGAGAGGGAGGCCACAGAAGTGTCCTGGGGTCTTCACCAAGATCCAATCTGTTCTGAGAACGGTTCCCTGCGGGGTAGGGGTCTGGCAGGGGATTTAGGAAAGCCTCTGGGTGGCTGTTAGGGGATCCCAGTTAGGATATGGAGACAGGGTGGAGACAGGGCAGCAGGTAGCCCTCTCCAAACTCCTCGTCCAGCGGTGCCATCTGGGAAGGAGCAGACAGGAAGAGAGGTATCCTTCCAGCACATGGGGCAGGGACTGTGGGAGGCAGGGGCCCAGCCCACCATCCAGGCTGCCCACAAGAGTTTTTGCAGGCTTAAATTCCTAGAGAAGATCCTAGAGTTCCCTGAGAGTCCTTTTTGATTCTTGCATCTGCCGCAGCCAGGCTGGTCTCTGGTTCCCACTCAGCTGCATTCTCTCTAATTTGGGAGAGGATAGCCTCTGGGTAGGTGGCTGTTTGAGAAGCTCCCTTCCTCAGACCTGTATGAGAGAACCTGAGGAGGGAATAACTGAGCGACGCACAGAAGTAGGCCTGGACCAGCCTGGGATCAGACCTCTGGACCCCCAGGACAGGATGTCCCCTATAGGCAGTGGTGTGAATCAAGCCCAGCTAGACTTCAGCCAGTGCCTGCTGAGTTCTGCATAGGTTGCCCAGGACCACCTTCCAGGGTCTGAGCTTCCAGTCCTCACTCTGGCTCCCACCGATGAGTGGCTGTTTAGCTGCCTCTCCCTTGGTTAGAGGTGGGTAGGTATTTTCGGCTGGCTGTGCCTCCCCTGAAAATGGAGCTGTCACACATCCTCTGGAGGCTACCCTCCCTCAGGGATTGTTCCAGGTCTGGATGGAGGTATCAGGGTGAGTCAGGCCTGGTCAGATTCTCACTCTGCCATGACTAGCTCATGACCTTGAGCAGGACCTTTTATGTTTCCTCCTTTGGTTTCCTTATCAGTAGAATAGGGATAATAAAATCCATGTGACAGCATTGTTGTGAAGACAAACGTTTGTTTGAAAGGGGATCTTCCTCCTCCTCCAACTAGCCCTTTGCTTTTGGGGCTTAAATGCTGGGGAATGGAGTCTCTCCCCTCATGGGTCTCTGTAGCCTCCAGTTGTCTCAGAGACAACTGATAAAGAACCTAATCAACATTGTAGTTTGGGACATAAAACCCGTGGGACACTACACTAATGTTCATAGCATTTTTCATAATAACCTAAAGGTAGGAACAACCCAAATGTCCATCAACAGCCAAATGGATAAGCAAAATGTGGTATATACATACAATGGAATATTACTCAGTCTTAAAAAGGAATAAAATTCTGGCATATGCTACTATATGGATGAACCCTGTAGACAAGCTAAGTGAAATAAGCTAGACACAAAAGGTTAAATATTGTATGATTTCACTTATATGAGGTACCTCGAGTACTCAAGTTCATAGAACAGGAAGTAGATTGGTGGGTATCAGGATCTGGAGATGGGGGAAATAGGGAGTTATTGTTTGAAGGATAGAGTTTCAGTTTGGGATGATGAAAAAGTTCTGGAGATGGATGGTAGTGATGATAATGTGAATGCACTGAATGTCACAAATTAAAATAGTTAAAATGGTAAATATTATGTTACGTACATTTTACCACACAACCTCCCCCCAAAAAAAAACCTGTGGGACAGGCTGGGGTATGCCCAGGTCAGGCTGCAAGAGAGGCCAGAGAGTGAGGAATCTGGATGCAGCACCAAAACCTAATCCAGTGGACAAGTGAGCACGGAGTGTGGATGTCCGGAGCGGTGCACTTGACACAATAAAGAAAAATAACTAAGTGCTCTGCAGTGCAGGCAACTTTGCGGCAGCTCCCCTTGACTGAGTGTAGAATAGCAGGCTCAGCCCGACAAGGAGAAGGCAGCAATGCTCCCTTCCTCTGAGGGTTCAAATAGAGAAACCATGTGGTTCATCCATCCATTTTACAGAAGGAGAAATTCAGGGCAAGTCAACATGTTTTTATTGAGGACCATCCCTGGCTTTGGAGGAGCCCTGCGGGAGATGTGTAGGAAGGGGGAGAAGATCTCAAGCTATCAAAACTTCACTTCTTGTAACATATAACCTGCCCAAGGGCTCAGGCCAATGTGAACAGGCACAAGGTTGAGTGAGATGAATAGTAAATCCAAGCTGGTGTAATGATAGGGGCAGTGGCATTCTGGGTGGACTTCCCATAAGAAGTGGCTTCAAGTTGACCTTAATGGGTGGAAGGATTTGGAGAAGGGAGAGAAGCATTTGTTCTGAGAACTGGTAGCCCACAGTATGGCAGTGAAAGGGCCTGGACTAACCTGATGGTCAGTGAGACAGGTGAGCATCATGGGATGTCAGGCTGAAGGGAATGGTTCAGGGCCCCAAACAGACTAAGGCTCTGCCTCTGACCTGGAAGCAACAGGGAGCCTCCGGGAGGCTCATGGGGAGGGCATGACACTTGTCCTAGATGTGTCTGTGGCCAGTTTCCCCAAGGCCTGGGTGGTGGGACAATCCCTAAGGCTCCCTCCTGCAGAGCCACCCTCAGAACTGCCCTGCTTCTCAGGTCCTTCATGCTGGTGCAGCCTCATCCAAAAGGCCATCTTCTCCTCCTTGAGCTTTTCATCCACCCTTGTGGTTAAATCCAGCTGCAAGTACTTCTCATCTCTGTCGTAGCGTGGCCAGTAGGGCAGCTTTTTACCATTGGGGTTTCTGCCCAGGAGGACGGAGAGAAGATTATTTGTGCTTATCTTCATCCTGCCTCCTTCTCTTACCCTTTCCTCATTCACTTTCTCTTTGGGAGTTGGGGTCCAAGAAGGCTTTACAGAGATGATATTTAGACATATCTTTAAGAAAGAGGAAGAAAGTGTGGTGGGGAGGGGCCTTTTAGGCAGAGGGAACAGAATGTGCAGATTTGGAGGTATGAAAGCACAGGGCTTTTAGAGGAAGCAGAAGGATAGGGTTAGGTAAAAACGTGAAGTGTGTGAAGAGGATGGATTTGGAGAGGAGAGGACGCAGGAAAGTTTTGAAGATTTTTGTGTCAAGCTAAGGGGATGGGACTTTACCTGAGGGCAGAGGGGAGCCATGAAGAGTTTTAAACAGGCAAATGACTTGGTCAGATGATATTTCGGAAAGGTCCATTGAGTGTTTATAAGGAGGATGGATAGAAAGGAGAGAGAATGTGGAGATGGGAAACTAGTCACAAGGCTAGCTAAAAGCTCGGCTCAAATGTTGTCTCCGCCAGGAAGCACTCCCTGCCGACCCCAGCTCGGTCAGACACCTTCTCTATGCTCTCAATGTGACTTCTGCTCCCCCAGCACAGTTAATTATACCAGATTATAATTTAATGTTTTTGTTAAACATTAGCAAGCCGCTGGAAGATGAGGGTCATGTCTACAATATCCTTGAATTCCATCTCCCAGTATTGGGGCTGGGCACAAGAGAGCATTGGCAGTCACTGACAGGAATGCTGGAGAGAATGAAGAGTATGGTCACGGGACAAAGAGGGACATATTTTAGGGACATTTAGGACCTGGTGACTGACGGGAATAGTGAGGGAAAAGGGGCATTCTGCTCGGGTTGATCATGCATTTCCTGTGGGACACAAGGACAAATATCTGAAGCAGCTGGCCATTGGGTCTAGCGCTGGTTAGGAAGCCTGCCCAGATGTGCTGGGGGAACAGACTCACCCTGTGCGGGCAAAGTTGGCCCAATATTTCATCATCCAGAGGCTCAGCGCCTTCTCCTTCCTTGAGGAATAGCCTGGAGGTGGAATAGAATGTGGCATTTGGAACAGAGCATAGGGTGCTGACATCCCATCCTGTTGCTTCCACACTGGGAGGCTTGCATCTGGGAGGGCATTCCAGATTAGGAATTGGCTAGCTCCCTGTGGTTAGCAACGGAGGGTGGGGGCGCGGTTGTGAAATACAAAGGTGTGGAGACTAGACACCTAGTGAGGGTGTTAGGTGGGTCTTTAGCACCTTTGGAGAGGACTATGCCAAAGATGAAGTGCATCTCATCCCCGTGGTCTGCCCCATCAGTGCGGGGTTTGATAATGATGCTGGGGGCATGGTGTTTGAACTCATACATGTAGACAGGGAAGCCGGCATCTGTGGACAAGGAAACTGAGGAGGGCTGCAGGAAAAGTCTCCACCTGGGCCTCTCATCCACCCCATGCATCCCACCCACCTGCATCAAGCAGGGCAAAGAGCCTGGGCTTCAGAACCCAGGGAGCAGATTTGAATCCTATCTGCACTGCTCATTAGCCATGTGACCTGGGGCAAGTCACTCAACCTCTCTGAGCTGCAGTTCCTCATCTGCAGACTGGGGTGTGAAAACTTAATTCATGAGACTGTGGCAAGGAAAATGGAAGCCTTCCTCTACCCTTTTCTGAACTTTTCTTTTCTCCCATTGGCATTTATAAAGTTCTTCAGTGTCTATCCTCTCCAGCCCCACCTTTGACCTCTCACCCACATGTTCCTCAAGCCCCAGTCGGCCTGGGCTGGATCTCCAAGGTGCCCCTATGCCTGTCCTCTCAGCCAGGAGGCCCTCCCTAATCACTCTAGCCTGTTTCCTCTGGACTAGCTTTGGCCTTGCCCTCCTCAGCCCTAGCGAACAGCCCCTCTTCTCTCACAGTTGCCAGCACACTGCCTCTTCTGTGGCCACTTGGAATCCTACACCAGTCTAGAGGTACAAAGAGCATAGGTGAGCACTCGGTAAGCCCAGTTGTAAGCAGCATGTGTAGACGCGGTGTGGCCACTCTTGGGGACCCCACATACTGCGATGGTAGCGGGCAGCCTGCAATGTGGAGTACAGAAAGGTAGCGTCCCCAGCTAGGTCCATCACGTGGTTTCGTAACCTCTTCCAGTCATGGTCATCGATATCAGCCAGGTACTCCTTCACCACCAATGGTAACTGCTCCTTGGTGACATTCTAGATGAGGAAGCCACACTCACCCTGAGGTGTAGGGTGCCAGCTGGGCCAATGGTAGGCACACCAGTGACTTGGGCCCAGGCTCAACACCCCCAGGAGTTTTTGGCCTGAAGTCAGGGAGAAACGGGGGGCTTCCTGGAAAGTTCTCCCTCTTGGGTGAGGCTTATCCCTGTGTTTTTGCTGCATGAGCACCGCCTGCCATGTCCCTGAGGAAGCCTGGGGTGCCTTGCCCACCAGCAGCCACCTGGTCCCATGCCAAACCCCATGCCCCCCAAGAAAGATTTCCGCCCTGGCTGGGAGCCCTTTGTGAAGAGTAACTACTAGGTAAGAAAAGGGGTCAGCCTTGTCCAACCGAACTGAGCACCCCTGACAGCAGGGCCCCTCACCAACAGGGTGCTGGTACTCCAGAGCAACTTCGTGATGGTTTCTTTTCTCATCCAGTGCTTGTTTAGTGGGAACTTCATGATCTGTTCCGTAAGAAAAGGGCCCAGGTGTGGGCCAGGCTCAAACATCAGAAGGGATTCCAGCCAGCGCCACACGAGGCCTCAAGGCTCTTGCCCAAGTAAATGGTAAGTTCTCAGAGCACAGAGCCCAGGAAGAGCCCCCACCTTTCCCACATTCTTGCTGCCATCCTGTCCCTCACTACCACCTGGGTCAGAGCTGATGTAGGGGCTGGGAGGATTCCCCCTGAGCTGGGGCATCCACCCTGACCCAGGAGCAGGCAGAATGCCGAGATTTGCAGCTGCCTGGAGACTAAGGAATGGACACAAGGACACATCCAAATGACAAGCTGAAAACTTGCAGCCCCCAAGCCTCCAAGAGACTACACTTCTTTCCCCCCATCATTCCTGGCCAGCTCTTACTACACAGGGTCTATAGGAGGCTCCCAAGCCCTTGGGCGTCTCCAGAGAGGCCACTGGGATCTGATCTGGTGCCCAGCACTACCCAAGAGACATCCTTTGCTACCCCCACTGTGGTGGGCACCCCTCCTTTCACTTACAAAAGGCAAGACCCAACTGAACTCCACGCTGTTGACACCCAAAAGGTAGGGCACAGGTGCAACCTGCCCCCGGGTCAGGAGCTCCACAGGATTGTCTAGGAACACCACGCCGTCCACCACGGGGCTCATGAACCACACAATCTATAAGACAAGGGGGTTTCCAGCCAGTCCTCTGACAGAGCCTCCCTGCGGTGCAGGGTGCCCAGCTCAGCGGGTCCCCCTCCCGAGACTGCTCGAGTTACAGGCCCTTTGGGGAAAAGCTGAGGCTTGGTGACCCCGGGGAGGGCAGGGAGAGGACCGGCCACAGGCAGGATCAGGCTACTCAGACTTAGGATGCGCCCAACAAGGTATTCCCATTCACACCTCTTGAAAATCCTTGCTAAGCCTTCTCGGTCCCTTCTATTTAAAATTCCACTCCTCCCAACATGTCCAACCTCCTTACCCTGCTCCTTTTGTTGCTATTCATTTATCACCTTCTAAAGAGGTGAATAACTTATTTATTTATACTGTTTATTGTCTCTCCCCACTGGAACATCAGCCCCACAGGGGAAGGAGTCTTGGCCTGAACAGTTCACAGAGTATCCTGGGTGCCTAGTATATAGTACGTGTACAATAAATATGTATTCAAATTAGAGAGTGAGGACTGCTCACCTCTTGAGGGTCTTCCTGGAAATTCATATGGAAGAATCTCTGTGGGGAGAGAAGGGGACCAGAGGTAAAGGAAGTCTCTCCAGTGTGCTCCTGAGGCAGAGTCCCTGGGGCGGCTGGGTACCAGGTCAGGAGGGTGGTTTGCAGGCAGCCAGGTCAGAGAGCTGGAAGGAAGTTCTGCCTACCATTTTCTTGGACACATGCATCATCTCGGCCCCTGATCGTGCCCTCAGGCAGTCCACCAGAATCTTTGTGCTGTTGTGGCTGCAGCCTGCCAGACGGGCAATCTTCTGTGAAGAGAAGAAGTGCTCGGGGGTACCCCCAGTCTGCCTCTCCTTGCTGAGCCCTAGGGGAGAGGAGACACTCACCTTGGCCACCTTCAGTGGATCAGGAGTGATGAAGACTTTGAGTACTGCGGTGCCGCTCTGGGAAATGGCCCGATGGAAGAGACCCTGGGCTAGGGGTGATGTCATCTGCAGGAGAGGTGAGTATGGCACCCATGAGAATGCGCTGAACCACTTGGGCAGTTTGGGGTGCCTGTCTGGCCATGGCTGGGCAGCCTGAAGAGGCCCAGAGAGGGCAGAAGCTGGGAAGGAGTCAGGAGTTCTGGGTTGGAGTCCTAGATCTAGAGCCAGTGCCTTCCTGCCTCTGGGCATCCTTATCCTGGTCTGTGCAATGAGCCCCAGGGGTCCCAGAGAGAATCTGGTGTTATAGTGGTCCTGCTGTCATAACAACCAGAAAGGTCTTCCTTCTCTGCTGCTGGGCTAGAAATGTGGGAGGGGTACCCTATGTTTCCCACGGCCCCAGTTACTTGCACTGGTAGTTCTTAGCCTTCCTCTGCTGCCCAAATTGGGGGGAAACTACTTTATCTGGATCCCCTATCCTGTCCCTTGGGTACTTCATGTGCCTTATACTTGCTCCAGCCAGTCCCCATCTATGTGGTGGCCCTCACCCAACACCATCTACTAGCCCCAGGGGCCTTCCCTCCTCCGCACACTGCTGCTGTTCCAGTTCTGTCCACTCGGCCTCCTGCATCACTCTGCAACCATCCTCTACTGCCCATCCTTCCTACCTCCATTTCAGAACCAGCCCCCATTTGATATACCGTCCCCACCGCAAGTTGGTCTCCAAGCCTGTTCTTCTTTTTAACCCAGTTCCAGCAGACTGAGCCAACTCTAAATACACATCTGATTGTCACTTCTCTGCGTAAAATCTTTCCCTGCTTTCCAGTGCATTTTCTTTTTTTTTTTTTTTGATGGAGGTACTGGGGATTGAACCGAGGACCTCGTGCATGCTAGGCATGCACTCTGCCACTGAGCTATACCCTCTCCTCCTCCAGTACATTTTTTAATAAAATTGCTTAACTTCTCTGGGCCTCACTTTCTTTATCTGTAGAGTGGAGAACATGTCTCTCTTTGCAGAGTGTAGAAAGGGAATACTCCTCTTCGATTGTTGAGGGAATTAAATGAATGAATTACACATAAGGTGCTTAGAAGTGTGTCTGGCACACAGAATGTGCTCAATGTTTGAATATTATTTCTAGGTCCCACAAGGCCCTGTGTGATGTGGTCCGTGCTCACTTCCCAGCCATGTGTCCCTCACAGGGCACCTGACCTTACATTCACACTCCAGGCACACTTCAGGTCAGCAGTCCCTCAGGAGACAGGAGCAAAGACCAGTCTCTAACCCAGGCCTGACTCTCAGTTCTGGTCTGTAGCCCCAGCCCTGCCCAGAGGGCAGATGGTGGTCTCTGTTCCAGGTATAGATCTCTGGGGGGCTGTAGGGAGGTAAGAGGTGCTGAGTGATCTTTCCGGCCCACCACAGATTGGCTGAGTATCCATATTCTCAGCATTGTCATTCCTGGGCTGACTTGATTTTCTCATCAGTGCTACCCCTGAATGGAACCAACATCCTTGGCTGTGAGCAGCGGTACCCATGGCAGGGATGAGGGCAGGTCTGTGGGCTGGAATGTTCTGGTACACGCAAATCTGTACATGTATCTGTGCAGAACACGGAACACGCTAACTTGCGTTTGTACTTGAGTCTATCTGGTCATTGCACTCACCAGTCCCGAGATGCACATGGCCCCTGATGACTGGCCGAACAGTGTCACGCAGCCTGGGTCTCCGCCAAAGGCTGCGATATTCTTCTGTACCCAGCGTAGAGCTGCAATCTGGTCCAGTAGGGCCCAGTTTCCGCGGGCCTGGCTGTCGCCCGTGCTGAGTGCACGGGGCTCACGGTCAGGGTCCGGAGCCCTAATACCTGCCTGGGTGCTGGGGAATCCCGCTTCGCCCCGCCCTGTCCCTCAGTGACTATGTCTTACCACTGTGTCTCCTTCCTTATAATTGGGATCCACCCCATTGAGGCGGTCTGGAGCACCCTGCAGCTCCTACTAGCACTAGACCACGTCCCTATCACGCCCTTCACAGGACACGCCCACCAGTCCCCGCCTCCTCCGCCCTCAGCCCAAATCCAGAGGAGGCCCAGTTCCGGGTCGCCCGCTCGGTCCCCAGGCGCTGCCCACCTAAGGAAGCCCAGGATGCCGAGCCTGTGCTGCAGAGGCACCACCACCACCTTCTCGCGGGCCGCCAATTCGGAGCCATCATACGCGGAAGCGGAGCCCACAAGGAAGGCGCCTCCAGGGAACCATACCATCACCTGGGCGAAAAGGGCTGAGGCCTGAGTGGGACAGTGGGGTGCCCGAGTGGGAAGGTGCGTGGTTGAAGGCACAGTACTCACCGGAAGCAGAGGGTCCCCATGCTCACGCACAGGTGCGTACACATTCAGGTACAGACAGTCCTCACTGAACTGCAGCAACTTGTAAGTTTTGTGCATGTTGAAGTACATGGAAGCCATCTGCCCCCAGGACTCCTGAAGGCACCTGTGGGCACCATGTGAGTTGGAGCCCAGCACCACAATGATAGTGGGGAGAATGGTTTCAACCCAGGTTCCACTGTGAGGGAATAGAACCCAAAGCAAAATCCAGGCAGCATTTGGTGTGTGTATGTGCAAGCGCGTGTGTGTATCCGTGTTCAAACAGCCTCCATTAATGTTAGGGTTCAGGGATGGGAGGCAGGTTGGCATCCCCTGTCTTGTGCCTCTCTTTATGGGTCTGCCTGGGGGTAAGTTCCCTGCTCCTGTTGGAGACTCTGTTGGAGCTATCAAGCCAGAAATCTGGGTGCATCTCCTTGTCTTTCATGCCCCACTCTCCCCTCAGTCTCTTTTCTACCTCCCAAACAGCTTTTGAATAGGATTTCTCTGTCCATCTCAGGGCTGCTGCCACCACGCTGGCCAGGACAGCGCCCCCACCTCTTCACACCCCCTCCAATTCATCTCCACACTCTCACCAGAGAGACTGATAGACAATGCAAATCTGACCATGTCACTCCCCTCCTTAAAACCTTCCCTGACTCCTTCTCCTGCCCTCAGGATAAAGCCCAGATTCACCTACACTGACCCAGGCCCTCCTTTCCATCTAGTCATCTCCTTCCCAGACACTCTTTGCTCCAAATACACATGACCCCTTGCCTCCCACCTCCAAGCCTCTTCCTTCTCTGTCAAATGCCTTCTCTGCGCAACAAACTCCTACTCACAGTTAAGGCTCAGCTTAAGTGGTACCCTCTCTGCTGGGCACTTCCCCATCTGTGCTCCCCAAAGCCCTATCCACCATTGACTATGATGCTGGGTTAGAGTTATTTTGATTGGTTGTTTTTACTGCCCAAGGGCAGGGATGGAGGTGGATTCATCTGATTCCTGGCACTTGACCCTGTGCGTTTTTCTGTGTAAACATCTGGTATACTCACGGAGCTTGGGCTGCTGGGTCACCTTGCCTTTTCTCCCTACTGGCCCAGCCAGCCCTGAGGGTGGCTATTCTCATAACAGCTGGGACTGGGCCCATTGATTAGATGCAGGACACATTGTCTAGCTATTCCTCTGTTCCCTTCTTCCCTTCTCCAGCCGGTCTTCAGTGTGTGTGTGTGTAATTCATTCCTACCTCCCCAACCCTAGAGCGTTACCTGCTCCCTTTCAGCCCTTCCCAACAGCACTTCAGCACACCTTGGTCCAAACCTATCCTTTACCACCCACCTTCTCCAGCAACTATTCTATCCCTCTATTCCCTTCAGGGCCAAATTTTCAACAAGTTGCCTTTCCCTCCACTCCACCAGGCCCTCCCCAGGGTCACCAGCAGGCAGCTAATCTGAGTCTCTACAGATTGTCTTTGGCCTTTCTTGCTTGAATTCTCGGCAGCAACTAATGTTGATGTTAGGATGCTGTCCAATAAATCACATCCAGCATCCCAACAGGAAAGCCAGGGCTCTTTAAGAGTCAAGAACTGCTGTTATAGGCAACTGAGGCATCTGTCCCCAACCTACCCTCAAAGTCACTCCTGTCAAGATCACCAATGACTTCTGTCATTATCTTACTTCTCTTGGCAGCCCTCTGCATGGTTGACCACGCTCCCCTTCTTGAACAGCTTTCCTTCTCTAGTCTGTGACACCCCGCTCTCCAGATTTTCCTGCCACCTCATTGGTGACTCCTCCTCCTCTCCCAGGCCAAAATGGGAGTGTGCCCTAGGCCTCAACCCTTATTTCACTTTTCATCTTGATTGTTCTTTCCTGAGCCAATGTCTTCCAGGCCCATGGCTTCACACCATTGATATGCTGATGACTAGTCTTCTTCCATTTCCCACCACCTACCCCACGTCTCCGCTTTGACATCTATTAGACATGTCAGACTTAGCATGCCCCCAAATGAACTCTTGTTTTGCCCAAACCTGCTCTTGCCGCAGTCTTCTCCATTTCAATCAATGGGACCTCTATTCCCTTTGCTGCTCTGCCCCCAAACTAGTCATTATCTTTGATTACTCTTCTTCCATTGTGGATCACATCCAATTCATCAGCAAATCCTGTCAATTTTACCTTCAAAAGAAATCTGGAGCCTGACCACTCCCACCACCTTCACTGTAACTACACTGGTTGAAGCCACCATCTCTGTAACAGCTTCCTTTCTCCCTGCTCCACCCCTAACCACCACCCTACAGTCTGTTCTAAGTCATCCACGAATTCTTACACCTGACACTCTGTGTTCCACACAGTCAATGTCTGACAGATGATGGCCAATGTTCCAACAACTGACACCCAGACTTCTATGCAGTGGACATCCCAGCCTCTAAACCCCTGATCCTCAGGGTTCTAACAATGGTTATTCCATGTTCAGTCACCTGATCCATGGAGTTCCAAATAACAGTCACAGAATGTTCTGAATGCTTCAGCCTCTCTCAGTGATGGACAGTGTTCTAACAACCAACTCTCCAGTATTCCAGTAACAGTCATTCATGTTCTGACAGTGGACATCTGTTCTTAACAACTAGACACCCAGGGTGGTGGTTGTAGTTTTTTATATCAACTGACTCCCAGGTTCTTACAGGAGACATTTTTCTAAATCTAATACTTTATCCAACTGATGATGAACATTGTTAATGTTCACCACAGAATGTTCTGGACAGTGTGTTACTCGATGTCCTAAGCAAACAGTAAATATACTTGTTCTGAGTACACTGCCAAGCCCAGTGCTTCAAAGGGCAGCCACTGTCCAAACACACTCATGTGACACAGGGAGCCCAGCTAGAGGTTGCAAAAGACCCTCGGACATTAAAACTGAAACTGAGACCATGCCCTCCCCATCATGGAGCTCCTTCTGCAGAGAAGGGCTGGTGTTGCCATATGGGCTTGTTCCTGGGCTCAAGCCCCAGGGAATAGAGAGGAGCACAGGGTTTACTCTGTCTGTGTGCGTGTGCGTGTGTGTGTGCTGCTCCTCACACACATTTAGGAGAAGTCTGCTCCCCAGAAGTTCCTGGGGGTACAGTCAGTGACATCTCCTCCTTTCCCAGGGCTCTCCCATGACAGAATCAAGAACAGCATTATTAGCGCCTTAAACACCATCTGGACCAGGCACCTCATTAGAAAACTGAGGCTCAGAATGGTCCCCAGGCCTGCCTGTGGCCACACAGTGCACTTTTCTTCAGTGAGTTGTTCAAATCCTGGCCCAGAGGCAGGCATAGGTTCACCGCCTTCGTT